AGCCACCCGTTACTGGAACCTGCACGTCAACTCTGGAGCTGATCCAGGAAGCCACGCCCAGTGTCCGGCGTGACTAAGTCTCACCTGTCCACCTCCACACCTGGCAGCCTCTGTGACCCATGCCACAATGCTGAGGGGAAAGTCCCAGCATCCATCACCCTCCACCCCATGTGTCTGCAAGGCAAGCTGGGCTTTATCTTTTTATTTTTTAATTTTTGGGTTTTTTTTGGAGTACTGGGGCTTGAACTCGGGGCCCACACCTTGAGCCACTCCACCAGTCCTTTCTGTAATGAGTATTTTCAAGATAGAGTCTCACCAACTATTTGGCAGGGCTGGCTTCAAACAGTGATCCTCCTGATCTCTTCCTCCTTAGTAGCTAGGATTACAGGAGTGAGCCCAGTGGTGCCAGGCCAAGCTCGGCTTTAGCATCCTGGCATCTCAGGCCTAGTTCTCCGGCTGATTGTTAGCCGAGAGGGTATGCTCCAATCAGGGCAAATGCTGCTTTGGAAAACTGCACTCTCCCGCGAGAAATCAGAGGGTGCATCTACCATCTCCCCTAGCACTGTTGAAAACGCCTGCAGCTGAAGACCCCCAAACTACCACTTTTCGTATGTCAGATTGGCAGAGGATGAAAAGAAAGCCCCTGATGCCTAGAGCTGGTGAGGGCGTGAAAAAACTCACCACTGCTCCAGATGTGGATTGGGAAACACTTTCAAAGAACAATTTGCCAGGTACCAGTGGCTCTTAACTACTTAGGAGGCTGGGATCAGAGGATTGAGGTTTAAGGCCAGACTGAGCAAATAGTTCACGTGATCCCATCTCCAAAATAACCAGAGCAAAATGGACTGGAGTTGTGGTTCAAGCGGTAGAGTGCCTGTTTTGCAAGTGTGAAGCCCTGAGTTCAAACCCCAGTCACACACGCACACGCATGTGCAGGCAAGGTAACCTATTTCCCATTCTGAAAAAAAAAAAAGGCACTGATGGGTTAGTATATCTTCCCAGGGCTGTTCTTTACCTCTCTCAGCACTTCAGATGTCTCAGGGAGTTGGGTGTGGTGGTCCCTCCTGTAGTCTCTACTTAGGAGGCTGAGGCAGGATGATCACCAGAGCCCACGAATTCCAGACCAGCCTGGACAACATCTCAAAGCAAACTGGACAAAAAACCAAAATAAAAATGCCTTAGGGGCTAGGGATTCAGCTCAGTGGTACAGTGCTTGCCTAGTGTGCATTAGGCCATGGGTTCCATCCCTAGCACAGAAAAATGAGTATCCAGAGGGCTGGGCGTGGTGGCATATGCCTATAATCCTGACACCAACACTTGGGAGGCTGAGAAGAGGACCAGGAGTTTGAGGTCAACCTGGGCTATATATGAAGACTGTCTCTTAAAAAAACAAAACAAAACAAAACATTGTACGAACCTGTGTAAATGCTACAATGTACCCCCACCCAACACAACAATAAAAAATTTTTTTTAAAGTACCCAAAGGTTTTTCTTCCTGTCACAAACAAAACAACATAAAAACATCCTTTCAATTGGTAATAAATCTTTGAGTTTTAAAGATTAAGATGTCCAAAAGATTTATAGCAAACTACAGTGTTTTTGCTCTTTTTTTTTTTTGTTTTTTTTGGCAATATTGGGGTTTGAACTCAGGACCTCACACTTGTAAGGTAGACCCTCTACCACTTGAGCAACTCCATCAACCCCTTTTTGTGCTGGGTAATTTCAAGGTAGGGTCACAAACTATTTGTCCAGGCTGGCTTTGAACCTTGATCCTCTGATCTCTGCCTCATGAGTAACTAGGATTGCAGTTTGTAGTGTTTTTTTAAATTTGTTTGTTTGTTTGTGTGTTTGTTTGATTCCTTCTTTCCCCAGCCATGTAGTATCTACTGATGAGCTCATTATTCATTACCATGCTGTTTATTTTTGTTTTGTTTATTTTTTTGAGAGTCTGCATTTATAGCCCAGGTTGTCCTGGAACTCTTGACCCTCCTGTTTCAGCCTCCCAATTGCTGGGATTAAAGGCATGAACCACTACACCTGCCTAGTGTGGTTCTGCTAGTACTGTTTTTGACAGTACTATAGTTTGAAATGCCTCACACTTGCTAGGTAAGCACCCTACAGCTTCAGCCATGCCTCCAGCTCTTTTTGCTCTGGTTATTTTGGAGATAGGGTCTCACTTTTTGATGGGGCTAGACTGGACTGCAATCCTATTTTACACTTCCCACTATAGCTGGGATGATAGGTGCTCACCACCACTCCCAGCTATTGGTTGAGACTGGGTGGTGGTGGTGGAGGGGCGTCTTATAAACTTTTTGCCTGGGCTGGTCTTGAACCAGAATCCTACACATCTCCTCCTCCCAAGTACCTAGGATTACAGGCATGTACCCCAGCACCTGGCTTACTGTGCTTTTTATTTCTAGCATTCCCATGTGACTTCTACAGCTTTCATCTTTGCTAAAATTCCCCATCTGTTACTACCTGTTGTCTCCCTTTCCCCCACCACTGCCAGGATCATTTGGGACATCTGTGAGTCTAATTCTATTGGTTATTTTGTATCTTGACAGTGGGTAGGGTTTTTTTTTTTTT